GCTGAGGGTGCACTCAACGCCACCACCCATGTCACAATTACAACAAAGCAATTTCGAAGTGACTCTAGCAGCGAGGGGATTAGCTCAGAAAACCAGAGCTCCACAACAGAGCATATGCTGCGGGTACAACAGAGCATCCCCTGGCTTTTAACACAGAGGCCAAAGAGAGTCCTGCCTGCCAGGCAGACAGACGCACACATGCCTCGTGACACATTATGGAGAAAGGTATTTACAGACCAGTTACTGACAAAAAACGTGTTACCTGGTAGACTGCCGCATCCAAGTTGCTAAGAGCCACAAATGCCATATTGTTTTGGAAACCATACACCAATGAAGGAACACTTAATTTTAGCAATTCTATAGGACTTCCGAATACATTTTCTTTTAAAGATGTTATTAACCTTGCCACACTTCCAGTTTCTCTGCAAAATAAAATATATTAATATAACTGAGGGCTTTCTTAAACTGGTATTTGAAAACAGGCAATCAAATCGACGACTCTTTTGGGAAGGCTGGGAATGTGTTCTCGGCAATCAGCTGTACCTTCTGCGCACCGAAGAGAAATAAACGGGGAATAAAACCAGTGAGGTTATCAACCCCAGAGGTGAATAAGACATTCTGGAATCAGGTGGTTAGATGCATTGATGTCTAACAAATGAAACAACAACCGTGAACACTGCAAACAGTGGAACGAGTTGCTAAGCTTACAGGCAGTGGGACACAAGGCTGCGTGTCGTGTCCCTCCACCTCTTTTTTTTCCTATTAACATTTGTGCGTGATGGCAAATGCCTGTGATTTGCTAGATCCCCTTTAAACTGGGCCTCACAGTACAGCTGAAAAGGATTGTACCCTTGCACACCACTGAGATGGAAACACCTCTCATTCCTCAGCCTCCCTGGGCTGCTCTTCTCGCTTGTGCTGCGGGCGACGCTGGACCGGCCCCAGCGCCCAGGTGAAGAGGCTTGGCGGGGCGTGCGGCAGCTCCCTGTCACCTCACACGTCTCCTTCGTGTAATTGGCGGGGGCGGAGTAGGCAGTGGGGACGAACACGTTGCTTCTTGCTGCTGTTCCCTTTTGTGGCTTGCTCCTCAGCTTATTAAAGCTGACCTCAGCACTGCCAGTCCTCCCTTATCATCTGGACATCGATCTGACATTTCTTGCTTACTTGTTGCTGCTACTCAAGTCCTCCCGTGCCCTTTCCAGCTCTCCCCAGGTCCCACATTCCCCCTTTCCATTCTTCTCTTGCTTGGCCACTGGCAAACACCAACATCCAAAGTCACTCCCGTCCCCCCCCACAGGCCTCTCAACTTGCAACCTGTCCTGCACTGGAATTTAACACTCCTCCTGCTGCCATCACACACGCATCTGAGCAAAGGGCACACATCCTCCTCAGGGCTCCAGGAGCCTAATTCCCCACATTTCACCCACATCCCAAATTCTTTCTTCTTCACAAACCTACGTCATCTACCTGCCCCAAACTCTTATTATCAATTACCAAAATTAGCGATCTGTCTAGGCCCCAGGCTCCTTTGTTAACCACCTTGTTCCTGCGTATCTTCCATTCCTGATCAACCCCTGCCTCTCCACTCCAGCTTCTTAAACTTTTCCTCTCCAAAGATTTATGGACTCATAAATTCCATGGCAGGGGGGTTGGAACTAGATGATCTTTAAGGTCCCTTCACACCCAATTCATTCTATGACTCTATCCTCTCATGATCCTTCCATCCAAGTTTCTCTCCTCCCTGCATGACCTCTTCTTCTCCTGTTTTTGCAGTGAGGGCAGTCTTCACACAGGCAGCTGCGAGGGATTCTTTCTGTCATTTTCCCAAAACAGACAGCACATGCACAACCCCCCTACCCCCCAGTTACCAAACGGGCAAGTACGGTTTCCCACACTCCTGTACAAGCGAGTTCACACACGAAGCTCTTCCCTAACTTTAGGGGGTTAATTTGTTTGGGACAGAATTGATGACACGGAGTGCATCACATCAATGTCTTTTGCAAGGCACGTCTGGCCACAGGGGACAGGCACTGACATGAGAATCTGTAAACAAGCAGCACTCAAGCGAAGCTCACAGTGCAAGGAAGGGGAAGGGTTGGTGCTCCAGCTCACCAAGGTTAACTGCACCAGATACAGAACTGCGTGAAGTGTAACGTGTCATTGAGATGACAGGCAAAACTGTTGGTTTACTTACTCCTCAATGTATTTACTGTATTGCCCAGCACTGGGAGACAGGCCTACAAGAAAGCCTAGAGTTCCTGCTAACACCCAAGTACAACTGGACTAAAGTGCTTGTCTCTCACATGTCTAACTGCAAATAAAATGTAATTAGCACAGACACAGTTTGACTCTGTGAGAATAAGCAGTCAAAAAGTCATCACAGAATCACAGAACAGTTTAGGTTGGAAGGGACCTTAAAGATCATCTAGTTCCAACCCCCCTGCCATGGGCAAGGACACCTTCCACTAGACCAGGTTGCTCAAAGCCTCATCCAGCCTGGCCTTGAACACTTCCAGGGATGGGGCATCCACAGCTTCTCTGGCCAACCTGTTCCACTGGCTCACCACCTTCTCTGGGAAGAATTTCTTCCTGATGTCCAATCTACACCTCCCCACTTTCAAACCCATTACCCCTTGTCCTGTCACTACAGGCCCTTGTAAAAAGTCCCCCCCAGCTTCCTTGTAGCCCCTTCAGGTACTGGAAGGTGCAATGCCACACAGTGATGGCTTCTTCCATTTGTCGATACTAAGGTGGCTTTCAGATAAGAAAAACAGTATTTAAACTACACCTCCTTCTGTTCCAGACCTCGCTTGGGGAATTAGTTGACCACACATTTCAAGTCAAGGCACTGCAGTAATAGTAGTTGCTGTCTGCTTTGACTTCTAGTGTGGAATTTCAGCAAGGAAGGACAACAGAGGTCCAGTAGGCACCCTTTCCACTTTAGTTTTTGAGAACAAGAAGATCTAATACTTCATCTTTGCAGCGGGTGTGCTTTCTGAAGCATGCACTTATCGAGAATCTCTAACTCTGAGTTCAGTACAAAGATGATGTGGAGACAGATTTAAATCTACATAAAAGCAGCATCTAAAACGAGCCTCTGTGTACAGCTGATAATGCAAAAAAAGGTGCCCAAAGACATACACTGCGAAATCGAATACAAAAATAAAAAAGGATCGAGCTTGAATTAAGCCTTCTTGATGTTGATCTGGATTTGACTTAAAACAAACACACATTCTGTTTTCTTCACAGATCTGAATAGGTGAGAGATGCCGACAGCGATCGGTTCTGCGGCGCAAACACGCCGGTGTTAGAAAAGCTGAAGTTAAAACTCGAGTTTGCAAACCAGCTCTACTTTTATTCACTGCTAAGTAATTACATACCATCTAAGACTGTAGACAAAGTAACTACCAGATGGTTAATTGAACTTGAAATAAAATATGAGAAATTGAGAGTACACAAAAAATGAGTAAACAATTCACACAGCTTAAACTATCATAAACAGCTCTTTGGAAAGAGAACCTCTGGGCATTCAGCCATTCAACATGCCTTCCAGGAGACACCTTAAAAGTGAACGTAGCGCAGGCGTAGTGCAAGAACGTGTGAGGAAACAAACGCCGCAGCCGGAACAACGCAAGAGTCACACTCCAGTACCCTCTGTATTGCAGTAATCAATGTTGCCTGCTTCGAAAAGGAAAGGGTGCCCATCCAAATGCATCCTGTTGTCCCGAAAAAACGGACTGTATCCCATCTGCTAACTGGGTGTTAAACTCCAAAGGCACCTTGCCTTGGGTGAGACAAACCGGTTAGGACTTTAAAACTGGGGGAAGCTGTAAAGGAGACACTGAAGGAAACTGTGCTGGAGTTTATGCTGTTCCACACATTCATAAGTGATCTAAAGAGGGAGATGACTAGGAAATCGGCCGTTTTTTCTGCTTACACTCAATTACACATGCGATCCAAAGGAAATTTTTAACAGTTGCCAAAGGGTCTCTCACTACACCGCGCAGAATTCACCAGGTCTTTTGCCATGCGAGACACAGCTGGGTGACCCAGACAGCAAAGGAAGGCACCCGGACCCACCAGCAAGCGAGACATCCTACCGAGAAGAGGTGAGCAAAGCCTGATGAATGTGTCTGCTGCTGCCCATCCCTCTCCCAGCTACGGAGGAAAAACCCACAGACCGGATCAGAACAGGTATTACAACCTTCGGATTGCTCAGTGAATCACATTCATCCCATTTTAACCGGCAAATGAAGCTCAGCTGTCAATAAATGAGAAAGAATCATAGGAAATGACATCCCCAAAATACAGCAACCATCTCTAAACCAGTTACAGGCACTTGGGAAGAAGATGCAAGTAGCATTCTGACAGTGCCAGCTCGAGGCTCAGCTGTGCTCAGAGAAACGAGCTGAACGTTATGAACGTTACGACTCCTTAGGACAGGAGCCCAGACCAAGACAGAAAGCACCTTTCCCCTCTGCATAACGCCACGGCATGGTCACATCCTGAACGCTGCATACGTTCCATTTCAAAAGGGATCCTGCTTCAGAGGGACACAAAAAGACCGGAAACACTGCAGAGACGGGTAGGAGGATGATCGTGGAAAAATCAGGCCAGGACTCCCAGCTAGGAAAATAAATGGGTGATGAAAACACAATACGGATCTGTAGAGATACAAAAATAAAAATGAAGGGGGAAGGACTCATGTCTGTCAACACAAGAAGACAGAATCCAGCGAAGCTGCTAGATCAAGTGCCTATTAAAAAGTACTTTTTCCATATACTCATTAAGTTGCAGAAGTCATTGCACGGGTGCAGGAGAAACTAACAGCTGAAAAAGAACGGGGCAGTCTCACAGAGGAGAGGATCCTTAGGGGCTACAGCCACAGTGTGCAGACAGCCCCCAAGCTGGGGAATCCATATGCTTCTGCCCCCAGCTCAGGAAAGTTCAGTCCGTGCTCGTCCTATGCCCATACTTCTGTTCTAAGCATCCCCTGCTGACTACTGCCACAGGAAGGACAATGGGCTCCATGGATTTTTGACTGTGCAGGGCTGCTCTAAAAACAAAACAGATCTCTGACTTAAAAGTAATTGTCTTTTTAATTATTTCAAGAGAAAAGACCATTCATAGTTTTAATGAAGATGATATTACTGACCCTTAACACGAGGCAGATTTGAACGAGGCCTCTGGTAAACCATCAACAGCCTGGGTCCAGGTGCACCAGGAGATTTGAGCAATGATACAGAGAGGTGAGGCCGCCCACAGCTCCCTCACTCCCGAGGCAGTCTCCAGAAAGCAGGCTGGATGAGGACCCAACACTCCTAGACCCACAGCGCAATTGCTCGTCAGCAGAGACGCTTCTGCCAGTGTTTTCTGCTGGCAGAACGAGAAGCCCGGCGTGCGTAAAAAGATGAACAGAAATCTGCCACTGCTCACATCTGCTTTTTCTAACACATCGCATTCAATGAAAGGTTAACCAAAAGGCAGTTTCCCACAAGCTGCCTTACCAAATTCAAATGTTGTCTCACGTCTAAAGCAAGTAAAATGCCATTTTGACGTTAAGTAGAAAAGATGTGACAAAACTCTGAAGTACGCCGTGTGACTTCATTCAAAAACACAAACCAGCCAGCCTTCTGATGTGCCAAAAGGCACAAAGAGGTAGGCCAAGATCCCAAAAAGACAAGTTCTACCAAACTGTCAAGAACTGGGCTTTGGGAGAGTCCGGAATACAAAAGATTTTTCCAAGAACGCAGCACAGGGAAGCTGGGAGGAAAGGCAGCGGACTGACAGCCTCCCTACTTCAGATGCTCACCCGTGGACTGAAGTGCCAGCTCTGAGCAGCAGCCTGGGATGAGAGAGACACTAATGTTTTCTGCCCACACAGCCTTTCAGCTCTGATTCCCTGGATTAACAGAGCTGCAAAGTGTCTGTCTGTAACACCGGGAAAACTTATGAGTAGGAATGTTACACTTTTATATAACTCAGCAGCCCATGGATCACAGCCCAGCTTTCATCTACACATCTACATCTTCCCTTTTAAAGACCCAAACCACCGCAGATAATCCATGCTGACGTTTTGAACCTATTCCAAAGCATACAAAAATAGAAAATATGCAGAAAGGACACACCTGAACACCGTGGTGTTTACAAAGCAGTTTCAGTGAGGGAGGACTCACAAGCTCTAACCCGCTCTAACCCGACTCCTCCACAGCACGACGATCCAGCCATGTTCTCAAACGTATCCATGCTTCAGTATCTGGGAATGTGAGGTTAGCAGCTGGGATTCGTTTTCAGAATACTGATTAGCATTCCCATACTTACTTAGCCAAGATGCCCACACTCAAGAGCAACTTGATGACTTCGGTGATGCACACAGCCGTCGTTGAGAAGTACAGTTCTGTCTCCACCGTTCTCGTGTACCGCAGTGTGACCGTGTACGCCGCAGCAACCAGGGTCATCACCGTGAGGCAGTACAACTTGAACAGTAAGCTGACGTTTTCTGGGGGAAAAAAAAAAAAAACAAACACAAAACCCAAAGATGATGACACACAGCATTCCCTTTGTTTTAACTGAAGAACTGAGGGTGTTCTCCATCTGGAGGACTGTACCAAATACTCCTGTGGCAGCATGCTACAATCACAATGTTGTGGAACGCTTCCTATAAAAAGGCTAAGATTTCAAGTCTCTTCTCAAAGAAGGTTGTATAGGAACACCAGGTGTTTGAAAATAAGATGTCCTCTTGCCCTCATCCTTTGTTCTAGGAAAACTAATTGGAGACTAACATCTATCTAACAGTAATCACAAAGTCTGTGCTTTCTGGCTCTCTGGCTGACAGCGTTCGCCCTGGAACGGCAGCTGATCCTCTCCACACAGGATACTGAACTCTGACACAAAGAGCTTTGGCAGACTAAGAGGCAAAAGCAAAGCGAGAGGAAAAGTTCAGTATCAGCAAAGAAGGGACTCACTCTAGCAAACTTTAATAAATAAGGCAGCATTTCCCTCAGCCTTATTTTCCACCCAAGTTAGTGACAGAAAAGAGTTTTGCTGGGAATGATGACGGGACTTCACACAAAGGGCTTTCCTGAAAATCATTTGCTGTAGGAAACCCTAAGGTTATGACTCCTCAAGTGCATTAAATCATACAAGGACTATGAGCTGTCTGTGTTATCCCCTTGACCTTCCCCACTGCTATACTCCTACAAGGGTTGCAATTCTTCTAACATCTAACTTCCAACATCGAACATTCATCTAACATTCTAACATCTTGCCCTGGACCAACGCAGCTTGGGAGTTAGGCCGTTCCAGGTCTACCAGAGAGATGTTTTTTTGCAGAGCCGCCCTCCTCTAAGGCCTGAGAGTTTCATCGAGTGGCCACGGCCAGACCACACCAGTTCACACCCGTGCCAGAGAATGGCTAAACTGCATCCGTACCAGCAAAGAGAACTCCACCGCACAGGACTTCTCGGCACAAAGGCGTGACCTACAACAGGAGACGCCAGCAAATGTGAGGTGTCTGCAAAACCGTTTTTAAACCTGGTAAGTTATTCTCTAAGTATGGCATGCAGTGGGTGGATACTGGTCACTCAGCAGCATCTTTCTGGCCACCATCTGTCGTGTTCTGGATATCCTAAAGAAATGTACTTCAACTGAGATAAGTTTGTGTTCCACTGCTGATTAGGGAATGAGCTAACAGATAAGCTCCGGGCAGATCTGTAATAACTTCATTCATTTAATATGGGAATGAATGGCTGAATCCACTGCTACTGATGTTTTGGTTCATTTTTCTTTGAAGCCAGCGATATCTTCTATTGCGTAACATTTCTGCAAGGTACAGTTAATACCCCTTGCTCCTGCAATCATTTAAATGAGCTACTTCCTCATAGATAAAAATCTTACCCATGTCAGTAACCGCTTTTAAAAGGTAGAGCCAATTAGGTTTTGGACTAGTAATGTTTAAAGGAGACTGTACAAGCTGAAATCCATTCTTAAATTAAGTTTGGATTGCGGGGAAGGCGGGAGGCGGTGGGAATCCAGGGCGTAACAGCCAGGAAATAAAATGAACCCAGTCCAGCTTTACAAAAATGTATTTCTGTCAGCATTAAAATACCATTAACAACGTGGTTTTACACATCAAGGTTTTAAGTCTATGGGCTAACTAACAAAAACTGAATTTAATGCTCGCCTGTATTAACCGCCCTTTGAAAAAATACATACGTGCCCCAGTGTGGCAACGGTTTGCGAGCCGGGGTGAACCAGGCGCAGCAGGACATGACGATGGATCGAGTGACGACACAGCCAGTCCCAGCAGCGCGTTAAAAGCGACTTGGGGTTAAGTTTTGGGCCCGAACGTTTTCTCCAGCCTGGCTCACGTTCCCGCATGGGCACCGGGGGCGGGAGGAAAACACGGCTGGGGAAAAGCATCTTTGGCTGCTCGACCTGAACTCATCCCAGCCTCAACAGGGAACAAAATAAAGCTGAAGGGAGCTGCTGCTTCTTTCCCGGAGTTGCCCTCGCTGGGCTGTGAATCCCGCCCGAAGGAAGCGGTTTCAGGCAGAAGGCACCAGGCAGGCCAAGAGCCTCGGGACACACACGCGGGCCTGCCCACGCATCTCCGGGGCTCATC